GGGCCGGGGAGAAGGCTCAGTAGAATAAGCGCTTCCCTGATAAGCACAAGGGCCTGAGTTCAATCCCCGGTTCTGCAAACATAAATAAATAAATACACACACACACACACACACACACACACACACACTGTTACGGGTTCCAGAAGGATTCTTAAGATTGTTCAAGATTGTTCTCTCCATATCTTTTTGAATGCCTCAGGAGTTGTTTGCTGTATTTTGTATTAATCTTGGATCTGTGGAGTTTTAAAAAGTCAAATTTTCAGTGTAATACTTTTGGGGGAAATCTAGTCTTTCTTGTCCTAATCAAATGATCCAAAAAATTTGATATGGCAAACAGGTACACATGTATTTTTAGACAATTGTATGGTATGTTCATACCCTTGACCTGTTATAATGTATTTACCCCTTCTTAGACCTGGTGTAATATGTTCCTCCCTTGCTGTGATTGCTAATGAGTTATCTTTCCTACCAATTTACCTAGAATTAAATTTTTAATAAGTAAGGTTTATTCTTTGGTTCCCGTTCACACTTAAAAGCTTGTGATAGCCTAATCATCAGGGTGGGGAAACAGGTCTAGGAAGGGTTTGGTAATTTGCCCAGTCGTATAGCTAGTGAGTAGTAGAACAGATTTGGTATTGTGGGGAGCTTTGGTTTCCAACTGTGCATACTGAGCAGCTTGGTGGTAGAGTACTTGCTCAATGTGTGCAAGGTCCTGGGCTTGATCCCCAGCACCATGAAAACAAAACCATGAAAATTGTTGTAAACCACCATATGACGTTTGTGAGGAATTGACTGCATGACTTACTGCCTTCTAAGTATCCGTTGCAGTAAATTCCAAGTGTACTGATGAGATGATACCAGCCATCTCCAGAATGCTCAGCTCTTCCTAGGTAGACTTCTTCCTGAGACATTTTAAGTGGCATTGTTTGGGCTGACTCTAAAATTTATTTGTGCAGCATGTGGTGATGTGCACGTGTAATCCTAGCACTCCGTAGGCTAAGGCAGGATTGCCATGAGTTCAAGGACAGCCTGTGCTACATAAGCAAGTTCAAGGCCAGTCTGTACTACATGGTGAAACCCTGTCTTTAAAAAAAAAAAAATGTTTCCTTGGACTGTGTAGGGCAGAGGGAAGTAGAGAGGAAGACTCAGTTACATCTTTAGTAAAGTAGTAAACTGAAAAGAGGATTCTTAGATGGAATATGGTGCTCTCCTGTATGGTTTTCTTTGCTAAACATCTCATTTTTGTCTATAGTAAGTGAAATCAGCATCATTCTCCACTTTGAATTTATTTATTTTTTTTAACGTACTGGGTATAGGGTCTCACTACATATCTCAGACTTGTAGTGATCCTCCTATTTTCAGCCTTCTCAGTGCTGGGATTACAGGCATGTGCCAGCATGCCGGGACTTGGTTGCCAGCTCAGTGCACCTAGGACGGGGCCTGCGTGGCATGTGGTACAGGGGATCAAACTGCGGTCCCTGCACTTGCCTAAGCAGATGCTTAGTCTGCTGAGCTATCTCCAAGGCCCTCTACTTTGAATTTAGAAAGGCCAAAGTATAAACAAGTATATTACTTGAGCTGTGAGGAAGGGCTAGAATGTTACATCTTTTCAGTGACATCAGACTCTCAGGAACTGCTGACAATACCTACAGTGCTAAAGACCAATTTTTCTTGGGGAGATTGGAAGCCATAAGGACAGCAGTGCTGTACCCAGAGTATGCTAACCAGATTGGAGTGTAGGGTAGAACTGTTGAATCAATTCAGTTGCTGCTAATTGTCCACCAGAAACCCTGGGTCCACAGACTTTATGAGTGTATTTTTCTTCTTTTTATAGAGACTTTTCATTTCAAAAAGACATTTATTGGTGTTATCGAAATGGTGTAATCCTCCAATGGCCTTGGAGAGACTATAGCACAGATGAAGGTATCCTTGCTAAGGAACTGCCAGAGCCACCTACCTCAGAGTTAGTTGGTGGGGAAGGAACATGGGATGGCACCTGCCAGCCCTCAGACCAAGGAGAACCAAGGCACCCAACCCTGACCCCAGAAAAGCCAGTTTCAAAGGTTGTACAGTTTAAGCCTTGTTGTTCAGTAGTTGTGGCCAAGATTCCTCCAGCACTACCAGATAGGAAGCACAGCCAAATGGTGCTTTCCCAGCCAGCAGCTTCAGACTGGCCTTTCAAAGGGTTCAGAGAGTAATTTTCTTCTTTTGGAGGCAGGAGAGCATTACGCAGCCACCACCACGTCAAGAGGTGCATGCTCTGTTCTGTGGATAGTTGGGAAATGAGTAGAGAGGAGACAGAAATTTTGGTCTCAATGAGTAGTGATTTTTTTTTTCATTTACCCATAGTACTGGAGATTGAACCCAGGCTTTCACACTGAGCTACATCCCAGCTCTTTTTTGAAACTTACTTTATTTTTATTTTGAAATAGGATCTTGTTAGTCACTAAATTCCTTGGCTGGGCTTGCATTTGTGATCCTCTTGCCTCAGTCTCCCAGAGTGCTGAGCCACCAGGCCTGACTTCATTAATTTTATTTATTTTTATTATTATTTTTAACATTTATTGTGTGTGTGTGTGTGTGTGTGTGTGTGTGTGGCCAGCTCAGCACACCAGCAGGCGGGGCTCGCTGGCATGTGGTGCTGGGGATCGAACCGTGGTCCCTGTACTTTGCCAAGCTTGTTCCAAGTAGGTACTTTAGACCACTGAGCCATCTCACCAGCCCCTACATTTTAAAAGAAGAAGAAGAAGAAGAAGAAGAAGGGGAAGGGGAAGGGGAAGAGGAAGAGGAAGAGGAAGAGGAAGAGGAAGAAGAAGGCAGGCATGTGGTACACGCCTGTAATCACAGCACTCCTGAGACTGAGGCAGGATTATTTTGAGTTTGAGACTAGCCTGGGCTACAAACTGAGCTCAAAGCCACCGTGAACTGCACAACAAGACCCTGTCTCAAAAAGACAAAAAAAAAACTAAAAAAGATAATAGATTTTAATACTTACAGGAAAAGATGATTCTTTAAAAAAATTTTTTTTTAATTCTTTTGATACAGGGTCTCACTATACTGTTTGAACTTTTAGTGATCCTCCTGTCTCAGCCTCCCCAGCACTGGGATTACAGGCGTGTGCCACCATACCCAGTTTCAGTGATCAGCAAGGCGCAGGGTTGACATGGCAGACATGGCATGCAGTACCAGGATTTGAACTCAGGACCTTGTGTTTGCTGGGCAGGTGTTTAAACTGCCGGGCTATCTCCCCAGCCATTTGTTTGTGTGTTTGCTTAGTTATTTGATATAGGGTCTCTGTATGCAGTTCTGACTCGTAGTGACCCTCCTGCCTCAGGCTCCCTAGTGCTGGGCTGGCATGGCATGTGGTACTGGGGCTTGAACTCAGGTCCTTGTGCTTGCCAGGCAGGTGCGTAGACCACTGAGCTATCTCACCAGCCCAGAACATGAGCTTTTTTTTTTTTTTTGGAACCAGGGATTGAACTCAAGCCTTGCGCTTGCCAGGGAAGCACTTATTCCACTGAACCATCTCCCTGGCCCCAAAACATGAGTTCTTTCTTTTTTTTTTTTTTTAATTTATTTATTTATTTAGTGTGTGTGTGTGTGGCCAGCTCAGCCCACCAGGGGGCGGGGCTGGCTGGCATGTGGTGCTGGGGGATTGAACCGCAGTCCCTGTGCTCTGCTAAGCTTGTTCTAAGTAGGTGCTTTAGACCGCTGAGCCATCTCACCAGCCCAAACATGAGTTCTTGAAGAATATTAATACTATGTTTTGCTCTTTGAGATTATAGGCCAGTGGTTGTCATCTCTGTAGTTGCATTAATGCTTTCTTCAGCTGATTTCTCTCACTAATTATTAAAATAGTTTTTAAAAATTACTATTTTTTTCAGCATCTACAATGAATTTTTTCTTATTTTTTATTTTTTTTTAAAATAAATTTTTTTTATTTGTGTGTGTGTGTGTGTGTGTGTGTGGCCAGCTCAGCCCACCAGGGGGCGGAGCTGGCTGGCATGTGGTGCTGGGAATTGAACCGCGGTCCCTGTGCTTTGCTAAGCTTGTTCTGAGTAGGTGCTTTAGACCACTGAGCCATCTCACCAGCCCTACAATGAATTTTAATCTTGCAAAAATTTTCTTCTAAGAAAATAAGCCATAAAGCCAGGACAAAGCATGATTTATAATTTATGAAAACAATTGTGTTTCTGAGGCACAAATCATAGTATTGAAATTCCCACCTGGACAAAACATTGAAGATAAACCATTCAATTCATAGATTAAAAATTATTAAATAGTTAATTGCCAAATGGTTACAGATATGGGATTATGTGTACACCACACTCAACACCAGTTAGCAAATAGCAGAATTCCCCTTATGGATAAATTTAGGGCAAGCCCTATCTCTGTTTATGTTTAAATGAACATAGATAAGTTTGTGTTAAAGAAGTTTCTACATGTGTTTTATGTTTTTGACCTTTCTATCTTCCTGCCTCAACTTCTCAGCCAGCTGGGATAAAAAGTATGCACCACTGGGGCTGGGGAGATGGCTCAGTGGTCTAAAGCACCTACTTAGAACAAGCTTAGTAAAGCACAGGGACCGCGGTTCAATTCCCCAGCACCACATGCCAGCCAGCCTCGCCCCCTGGTGGGCTGAGCTGGCCACACACACACACACACAAATAAATAACATAACATAACATAACATAACATAACATAACATAACATAACATAACATAGCTTTAAAAAAAAAAAGTATGCACCACTGTGCCTGGCTAGATGTTTTGTTTTTTGGTTGTACCAGGGGTTGAATTCAGGACCTTACACTTGCCAGGCAAACACTTATTCCACTGAGCTATATCCCCGCCCCCTTAAATGTGTTTTTTGAGCATCTGAATTTGGTGTGGTTTTGGCTTTCTCCATAAAAGGAATACAAAGTTAAAAGAATAACCCTTCCATTGGGTTCAGCTGTTGATAATACTTATTGCTTATGAAAAATAACTGGAGCCTTCCTTTTTCAGGGTAATCACTTTGATCAGTATGAAGAAGGACACCTGGAAATCGAACAGGCCTCTCTCGACAAGCCTATAGAATCGGTAAGCTCCTGTAGTGCCCTTGGGCCTTAGCGAGTCAGGCAGGCGGTGCTCGAGTGCCCCTGATGTGAGTGGGGGTCAGCTGTCACCGACTGGAAGTGCAGCTCAGGGCTGTTTTCCTGCATGCTGTGCAGTCGCCAGCTAGCATTTGGGGTATAACACAGTGTTTAATGTATGAGGGAAGCAGCCCAACACAGAAACAAATTAGGGTTTTAATGAAAAATATTATTTTGTCCCATAATGATATTCTGATAAAGATAGTAAAAATTTAGTGTTTTTGTGAATTTAATAAGGAGTAAGTATATTTTAGCCTTTCAATACCTTTCCTTGAAAAACATAGTCACAGGAGACATCTGTTAGGAGCAGTTGTACAGTGATGCACTTTATTTTACCAGACCATGTTAAGCTCTTCTCTGTAGCTTGAAAAATGTCTGGGGTTTTTTGTCAGAAGTTGATTTTATGATACTGGAGTTTGAACCTCAGGGCCTTTGCACTGAGTTACATTCTAAGCCTTAAAAATTTTTTTTGAGACAGGGTTTTGTTAAATTGCTAAGTTGCCCAGGTTAGATTCCATCTTGGAGTCCTTCTGCCACAGTGTCCAAGAGGGCTGAGATTATAGGTGTGTGCCACCATACCCAGCTATTTCCCTCTTCTTACACTGGTTAGAGACATTAATGATAGCAAGCGATAAAACAAGGTTTATTTTCCTGTCTCTTAATTTTATAAATTCTTTTTAATTTTTGAATATTACTTTTACTCTGAAAGCCTATTTTTAAGTAACACAGCTCTTTGTTAAAGTGTCTACACTTGTCATTATTGTGAGCATATAATTTTTGTGTTTTAAGTGTGCCTGTTTAATGAAGTTTCACTGAGTTGTGGGTAAAACTTGAATGGGGATAAAATTCAGAGGAAATCTTACTAACCTTAGTCAAAGCAAGCCCTTTCTCCTTTTAAGAAATAAAGCATCTTTCCTGAAGGAAAATACTGAAGCAAGTTAGACTTGAACTTTAGTTGTATTTTTTAAACTTATGACATAGTAAAGGATCCACATATATTTATGTTCCTAATTAGGTTGGTATTGTGTGTGTTTGTGTGTGTGTTTAGATGTTTACAGAAATTTACACAACTTGGGGTGTTCGACATTTTTCTTCCGCAGCAGTTGGCCCATATTAGCTAAACAGCCATGATCTGGTTTGTATTGCACGGTCTGCCTTTTTAAAATTTCTTCTAGGGTTTCTTTCTCCCCACCTCCCCTTCTCGTCTCTGTCCTTCTGGTCCAGTGAACACTGCATACAGTACCTTCTGTCTCCATGTGCTGGCATGATGCTAGACTCAGGCATGGCCCTAACGGTGACGCATGTGATACTGCTGCAGAGGGAGAAGGACACAGGGGTGGACAGGCTAGTCTGCGCTCAGATGGGAGGGCAAGAGGCCAAGCCCACCCCACCCAGTAACACATTCAAGTTTATAGTTTGCCTGCATCATCTCAGGGATTATTACATGACAGAACTTCACAATGAAATTGGTAGCTAAAACCAGTATCTTGTACTTGAAAATAATTTTATTTTTCCATTTATATTTAATTTTGTTTCTTTGGATCAACGTTAAAGAACAGCCAGCCAGCAGCAGGGCCTCAGAACCATATCCTGTGAGATACATGGTTGGTTAATGTTCTTACATGCGCTGCAGTTCTGTGAGTACTTTGTCCTGATAGTAGAAGGAAATTTAGTTAGCCTGGATTTGCAGTGTATAATTACTGTTATACTCACCAAGGTTTTTTAAAGGCACTAACTGATATTTAATATTTTTTAAGCTGCCTTCTAGGGGCACATTAAGTTTTCTCAAAAACTCATTCCAGTGAGGCAAATGCTGTTTGATCTCATGTTGTCCAGCATTCTCTGTTTTGTGTTTTAGGGAGTACACTGTCAAAAGACAGTCTGGTTGAGCAGTCTTATTGGGCTGGCTCCTTACTTATAAAGCACTGCTATCTTCAGTTAAAATAGCAGATCGTATAATACACAGATTGGATATTTTGTTTTTTAATTAACATGTTCACAGGTGTGTAACATGTTAATTATATTTCTAATCAAAATTACTGCTGAAACATACATATATACATCATTTGTGATGTGTTGGCTTAAGTGTGGGCTAATAGCCAGGAGTTTGTAGCTCCATTGTGTTAGATAGCTGTAGGACTCATAAGGAAGAGTCTATTTCTGCTATCTGATCCTTTGGGAATAAAATATAAAATTTTAAAAGGAATTCTGATAATGATTGGTGGGTTTTGGTTTTTTGTTTTTAAGTAATTTTTTTTTTTTTTGACCTCCCCTTGAAAAAAGCTGAGTAGGAGCTACTGACTTGGCTGGCTGGCTGGCTGGCTGTGTAAGCTGTGTGGGTTGCTTCTTGTACAGAAAGAGTCCCTGCTGAGTTAAGATCTTTCTCTGCAGCAGTATTTATTGAGAGGTGCTGACTGTTTTGCTACAGCATGCAACTCAAAAGCGGCTGGAAGTACGCAGCTTTGGGAGTCTACAGATCATCTCAGGAGCTAAAGGTCTAGTCTTTTTTTCTTTTCTTTTTTCTTTTTCTTTTTTTTGTTAAGCCAAGGTAATCAGCAGCTGGTAGCCATGGGAATTTGCACAGGTTTGAGCCAGGAATGTGCCTGTGTGAGGGTTCTTGTGAGTATAGGACTCAGGCCTTCTGTGTTGTAATAGGGTACATTTGATGCACACAAGCACAGTGGGAGATTATGTGATGCAGCATTGCACTGTGCTTCTGTCTAGCTTATGAAGTCTCGATTTTTAGTGAGATGATGACAAGCATTCAGGGAAGCACTTATTCCACTGAGCCATCTCCCCAGCCCCAGTGACAAGGATTCAGTTTCAGTAGGCAGATGTTGACACCACCTAAAGTCTAATATTTGTAAAGTATTTAATCTTTGGTGTAAAGTTTTATTTTCATTTTTTTATTTTAACCATACAGATATCTGTCAGTGAAATTTCTGGTCAAGAATAAAACACCTAAGAAAAGAAACAGTTGCCTGACCACTTGATTACCTGCTTTAAAGTGAAAGTGCAGAGTGGTAACTTTTTCTGCTGGCATTGGGGATTAAGCTCAGCGGCACTTTGACACTGAGGCCTCCACCTTCCTCAGTATTAAGTTTGATCCTGGGCATGTACGTGGCAGGCAGGTGCTCTGCCGCTGAACTATAGCTCCAGCCCTGGCCTAGGTGAGCCTTAAATGCATCAACTTCTGAATCAGCCTTCTGAGTCCTTGGAATTATTGCTGTGACCTACAACATCTGGACTCAGCCTTTCATACTTATTTGTGTATGTGTGTATTACAAAGTGCAGTATGGGGGCTGGTGAGATGGCTCAGTGGTCGAAAGCACCTACTTAGAGCAAGCTTAGCAAAGCACAGGGACCGCGGTTCAATCCCCCAGCACCACATGCCAGCCAGCCCTGCCCCCTGGTGGGCTGAGCTGGACACACACACACACACACACACACACACACACACACAAATAAATAAATAAAATTTTTTAAAAAAAAGTGCAGTATGGGGATAAAAACAAAACACTTTTAAAGTTGAATTTTAAAAGTTTTTGTTGCTTTATAAGACTTCTAGGTCCTGGCCATTGTAGTTTTGACCTCCACATACTTAAAGGTAAAATGTCTAGAAGACAAAACCTTCCCTAAGCTACAGTGCAGTCTAGGGTTCCATTGTAGTCACTGATAGTGGTGGTTCATGGTCCTTATGACCCTGTTCCAGCAGGAAGATGAGGCATCGGATGTTGGAGCAACGTGAGGTTACACAGAGGGCAGCACCTGCAGCTGAGACCCAGAGTGTGCTGTCACTGGCACATGTCCAGGTGCAGCTTACAACTGCCATTAGATGGCTTTTATTCTGAAACCCTGGCTTCATTGTTATCAGGTTGATTGGTAGATTTTAAAATCAGTGTGATTTTTACATTGTAGGTGCTCGTGTTTAGTTGCTCACCTAGAGACAGAGAAGCATAGTTGGGCTTTGTCACAATGCATATCGGTTCAGATCTGTGGACTCCATTAGTTCCAAATGTAACTCTGAGATGCTGATTTGACATTTAGCAGTGACCATACGTGGACTGCACTGTAAATAGCGTGCTTCTTAGAGCTGAATGGTGTAGCATCACTCTGGCTTTTCCCTTCGGTCTTCATTGTGTCATCTGTAGTGAGCTGTAGATTTTTTTTGTTTTGGGAGTTTTTACAATTTGTCATTTGCATGGGTCCACCTAGTAGCATTTGGTTCTTGCTTATAGAATCTTTAGTATACAATCAGCAAAGCTTACAGTACACTCAAGAGACATTTTTGTCACTGTCAAAAATGGGTTAAATTGTGTAAACTAAATGTGGCTGTCAACTACAAGAAAATCCACTGTGGAGCTAGTGTTCATCTAGTCGCTGACATACTTGTATTAGAGTTTTTTCTTGAGACATGTTATTCCTCCTCCTAGTAGAACATTTTGGAGTTGCCAGGTATAGTGGCGCATGCCTATAATCCCAGCATTTAGGAGGCTGAGGTTGGAGGATTGTTGTGAGTTTGAGACCAGTCTGGGCTACAAAGTGAGTTTAAGGTCAGCCTGTATAGTGAGACTCTTGTCTCAAAATGACAGAAAAAAAAAAAAAATTTGGAGTCAACCTCACACAATCTTTACACGTGTGTTGATACTTCTTTCATAAATACAAAAATATCAAGGAGTGGCTGAAATAGTTACCTGAGCTTTTGTTTACTGGTGGTGTTTTCAAGTGTATGGATAGTTGTTCAGAATGTACATGTCTTGCTTTCTTTTTTTTCTTTTTTTTCTTTTTTTGCAGAACCAGGGATTGCACTCAGGCCCTTGCGCTTGCCAGGGAAGCGCTTATTCCACTGAGCCATCTCCCCGGCCCCATGTCTTGCTTTCAAAGATCTCCCTATTTGATAGTTCTCTCCTTATGTAAGTAAAGAGCAGAGGTTGGATATACACTTTTGTAGTTGTACAGTGAAGTCTAGAAAAAGAAGAAAAAAGGCCAACTGAGGTAAGTTAGCCTAGCAGAAAAGAATGGAGGTTTTCAGCTCAGCTTCATGATTTGATCACAGTTAGGACAACTCCCTTTCCAACTAGTGGCCGTGCACAGAGCTCCCATTTTTAGATCTTGAGCAGAGTGTGACAGGAAGTTGTGTGGAAACCCAGCCTTTGCTCGCCACCCTTAGCTATTAGTCAAAAGAGTATTTAAGTAAAGGACCCATCACTGCCCTGCATCTTTGTTACTTGCAAACCTAATTTTTAAAAAAGCCATATATGGTGATACCTGCCTGTGCTTCTTCTACCACTCTGGGAGGCTGAGGCAGGAGGAGGGCAAATTCAGGCCCATCCTGGGCAGTTTTAGTAAGCGACTGTTTCAAAATAAAAAGTTTAGGGGCTGGGGAGATGGCTCAGTGGAATAAGCACTTTCCTGGCAAGCGCAAGGGCCTGAGTTCAATCCCCGGTTCTGCAAAAAAATAAAATTAAAGCAAAACAACAAAAAAACACAATAAAAAGTTTAAAAAAGGGAGCGTTCTGGGAATGTGGCTTAGTGTAAAGGTCCTAGGTTCAATCCCTAGTCTGTCTGTCTTCTCTCTCTCTCTCTCTCTCTCTCTCTCTCTCTCTCTCTCTCTCTCCTTCTCTCTTTCACACACATGTACACACCCCTATACTTTTTTTTTTTTGCTCGAATGCCTTCAGGGCGCTTTTGGCCAGCGGGAGAAGTGTGAGGTTTGAACTCCAGCAACCTGAGGCTGACAGCTTTGTGGAAGCAGCCACTTAAAGGCCTGAGCTAGGGCCAGGCCCCCCACACCCCTATACTTTATACAGTGATGTATATTTTTGGTTCTATGAGGTTATAATTAAATCCCAAATTACATATTTTATTTAAAGACAAAACCAAAATGACTTTTCAGTCATTTTTGTTTGTTTGAAATGGGGTCTTATGTTGCCCACCCTGGTCTTGAACTGCTGGCTTGAGTAATCCTCCTGCTTCAGCTTCTCATAGTTGGGACTATAGTTGTACACTGTTGCACCTCACTGATTTTTGTTGCTCTTAAGTTTTTTGCCCCTAATAGTAGTTTGAAAGTCAAATTAGTGCTCATTGCCTGTGTCTGTCTAGATTTTCCTGTTAGAGCTATGGGTTCCTATGTGCAGTTTTCTGTTGCAGGTAGCATCCATGAGAGTCATCATCAAGATTACAGTCCAGGGCTGGGGATTTAGCTCAGTGGCACAAGAGCCTGCCTGGCAAGCATAAGGTTCTGAGTTCGATTCCCAGTACCAAAAGAAAAAAAAAAAAAAAAATCACAGCCCTAGGCAGAGGGCATATGTTACTCATTTCCTGTAGACAGGTGCTAGAATCCCTTGTTTTTTGGAGATCATTTCTGACAGAGCAGTGGCCTGTGTTCTGTACTGTTGTAGGTGTTGTGGTGTGTGTGTATTCAGCCCATTCACTGGGCTGTGACACGTGTCCACAAAGCCTGTGTCTTAGGGAAGGGCCCGTAGGAAGTGCCAGCCCTTTATGGAGATGTACAGTGCTGCCCTCCCCACCAAGTGGTCAGTATGGTGGGAAAGACCTGTTTTTCTGTGAGCCACTCACCTGGCCTGATCAGCAGGATTGTGGTGCAGGCTAAGGTGTAACAACCTGCCAAGGTTTATCCTCTCTTTCCTTGGGAAGACAGAGAAAGTCTGAACTTAAGCTTCAGAGGAGGAAGCCACGCTACTGTGTGTGGGAGCTTTTCTCCTGCAAAAGTGACAGCCATCCTCTTGAGTGAGTCTGTAAGGTGTGCTGATCTGTATGACCCTCGGTTTTCCTTGCCCCTCCCTGTAACATCTGCGTCCCTTTCACTGTTGTCAGTCACCACACGCTGTCTTGACTCAGCTGCTCTTGACTCTCGTGAATTTACTTATGCTTTTACTCTCCTTTAATGAGTACCTTACTTGCAAGCACTGAATTGAAAACAAGACAAAAAAAAAAAAAAAAAAAAAAAAAAAAAAACCATTAGTGATTGGACAGTTTCTTACTTTGTGTTACATTTAACTGTTCTTTTGACAGCCCAGTTTTTAAAGCCAGGTTCGTATGGAAATGCTTTCACTCCACTTGCACTGCTTTTGGAAATAGCATACTGCTTCATCTGTCTGTTTATTTTAGTGCATTCATGATTTAACACGGTCAGCATAATGTCTCATCTCCACCTAGCCAGAGGTGGTGCATTCTTTTAATGAACAACAAAAATACAACAAAATGAAGACAGAAAACAATATTTGTCAGCATTATTTAATACCTAAAACTCAGCGTCAGATGTAGTTACAGCATTAGCCTAGTAGTTTAAAAATAATGGAATCAACTACATGCTCTGAGTCATTTCCAGATTTTCATTTGTAGAAATTCTATGTAATAGTGGCTTTATATCACGTAAGCTTGTTCTTATCATAGGACAATAAGGCTCTTTCTGTTTTTTGCTAAAATTATTTATATATTGGGACTTCGTTTTTATTTTTTGTTGTCCTGAGAAGGGAACCCAGAATTTCATGAATGAATGTTAGAAACACTACCACTCAACTACATCCCCAGACTCAAATTTTTAAAAGAGTAATAGTTATTCATAAAGAGACAGACTCGCTGGGTGTGGTGGCGCACGCCTGTAATCCCAATATGGAAGGCTGAGGCAGGGGGATAATTGTAAGTTTGAGACCAGCCTGGGCTACAAAATGAGCTCAAGGCCAGCCTGAACTGCATAGCGAGACCTTGTCACAAAAAGAGACAGAGACAGACTCAGTGCAAGCTATATATCCTTTTTGTTAGAAATACAAGGGAGAAGAAAGTAGCAGCAGTATACCATTAAATTTCTGTGATCTCCAATAATGTGGAAGTCATCACTTGCGCTTATACATACTCTAGTGTTTTCTGATTCTTCTAATTCTTAGCAAAAATAATTTCCATAAGGCCATTTGTGCGCTGTAATTACCTATGTGTATCTCACACAATTTTATCTTGTTTTAGAACATATTTTTCATTATTGTTTGCATCCACTTTTTGTATTTAAATAAGATATTCTAATCAATCAACCACTCAGCCTAGTTTTCTCATGCTAATAAACTTATTTATTTATTTATTTATTTATTTATTTTTGCGAAATGGGGGGATTGAACTCAGGCCCTTGCACTTGCCAGGGAAGCGCTTATTCCACTGAGCCATCTCCCCTGCCCTGATTGTCCTTTTAAAAACAAAACAAGCTGGGTGTGGTGGCACATGCCTGTAATCCCAGCACTTGGGAGGCTGAGGCAGGAGGATTATTTGCAGTTCAAACTGGAGGCCTGCTTTGGCTACATAGTTAAGTTCAAGTCCAGTCTGAACTGTGTAGTGAGACCCTGTCTCTAAAAGCCAAACCAAATCAAAGCCAGAGGATTGGGTGGGGGTGGGAGTGAGAGGTTATTTATCTAACTTCCTATAAGAGGTGATAGCAGTAAAATAATGTTTTTGACTCCAAGGAACATTTGATCATTGACCATGGAGCTGGATGATAAACAGCTTAATATGAGGTATCTAATTTTAATGAAATATTTGTGATTTTGTTATACTTATAAATTGATTTCTTGTAATAAAAGCATTCAGATGATTCTAGATACTGTAGTATACATACTGAACACTGTGTGTGTGTATAATACCTCCTACCTAGTGTGGGATTGAACCCAGGGCCTCACACATACTAGGCACTCTATTGTTGAGCTACACCCCAGCCATGTGATTTTGGTTTATTTTTTATCTATTATTTATTTTCTTTATGAGTGGCATTTTTTTCTGACAGTTAATGGTTATTTGAGCTTTTCTTTGGTACTTCATAATTCAAACACAGAATCTGAAATAAAAATTAAAAAGCAGAGAAATTTAACAAGAGGATATAAAAGTCCCTGACCTGGACCCTTTGCACAGGAGCTGACGTTTGATTGTTATTTCTGGAGTCTTCACTACAGCCCCCTGAAGCAGCTGTCCAGGTCCAGCTGGGAAGATGAGACATTATGTGTGCTGGTCCCTCTGCGCACCAACGGTTCTGACTGTACCTACTGCCAGGCCTGGTCCATTCTAACGTCCTAGCGTTTTTCTTAGACTACATGTTGATGCATCACTCAGTCTGTGCTTGAGCTCATTTTTTTTTTTTTTTTTTCTGTTTAATCAGTTTAATTTCTTGTTTTACTAACCTCACTGTTTTTTCGGTTTAATATTGGCTGCATGCTAGTTAATTATTTATATTTTGTATATTTATATGTTAAAAAAATCAATCAAGTCTAGCCTGGATTTTGCTGATTGTTTTTTCATTTCTAGTGGTGGGGCAGTCTTACAACTTTGTATCATGAAAGCCTGACACATAAAGCAACTAAACACAATGTAGATTTTCTTTCCTAAAAAAAAATCTTAAAGTGGTGCTGTCTAGGTGATGGATACAATTGTTCAAGGACCTTGATTTTATGCTTTTTAATGTTAGCTTGAAATTTTCACAGATGTATTCTTCCCCTTTTCCCTTCCCCTTTTTGCTTTTTTAAAAGTGTTACGAACCAAAGTTGCCCAGCACACCATCAGAAAGGACCCTTTCTCCATGTGCTCTTCCCATAGACAGTACTAGCCAGCATTCCTTCCACATTAGCGCCCCTTTATTGGGCACATTTACCTTGGTATAGCACCTTTTTGCATGCGTATATGTAGATTACCTCTTGCTCATCACTGTTAAGTGTCACTAGGAAGGGAAGAATATATTACTGGAATATTTTTGGTTTGTCTCTCTGTTCTGTCTGTCAGGATAATATTGGACATCGCTTACTCCAGAAACATGGGTGGAAGCTGGGCCAGGGATTGGGAAAATCTCTTCAGGGTAAGTTTTTAAATTTGGAAACAATGTTGGTGATGCAAATCTTATACCTGAATTTATTTGTTGTCTTTAAAAAAAAATACTGTTTGGGTTTTCCCCCTACTTTACCCCTTCTAGAATAGTCTCCTGCTCTAGCTGTTTTAAGTTGCTATATAGCCTCTCATGTTCAGGAATTTGGAGGAGTAATTGCTGTCTCCTTAAACATGCTGGTCAGATGCTGTGTGGCACTGTGTGTTTGAGTCTCTGTGTGTGGAGGTGGCAGGTGGATGGGACAGAAGGAATGTTTAGTGTCAGGCAGAAGTATGCCTTTTGGTGACAGGGACAGTGGCTTCAAGGTTGTAAAGATAATCATTCAGCCACCGAGTTTTAACTTTTTTCTGTCTGAAGCTGACCACTCCCGTGGCTCTTATGCTCTCTGAACAGATTCATGGAGTGGTGGAGAGAAAAGTTAACCTACGTGAAATGTGAAAACAAGTTTGCTAGGTTCTTTAAGCAGTGGACTCTTTTTCTTGGGGTCAGATCAGGCTTTGGAGGATGTGTGGCTTCAAGTTTCTATTGCATTTATTTTTTCTTGTAGCTATATTAATTGTTTGGGTAAAAAGAAAATATCAGTGTTTTTGCTTCTTGAGTTCTTGCATCTACTATTGCCTCTTTCAGGTTGGAAAGCTAGTGCTTTCCTTGTTGTTGTTGTTGTTTTTTTTAATTTAATTTAATTTTATTTGCTTTCCTTGTTGTGGGTGTACCCGGGAGTTGCCTTGGGGGGGACAGGTCACTGCTTTGTGCCTGGAGGCAGGCATGTTGCTGGTGGATGATCTTTTGTACTTTGAAAGTGGGTTTTCAGTGTGAAGTCTCGTCAGTTCAGGTTTTGAGAGGAACAAGGGACAGGAATGAAAAGGGCTGGCTCAGTCATGAAACTTTTGCCTTCTAAATTCTACAAATTATCTTCTGTGGGAGGCTGGTGCTCGCCTGTCTGTCTGTCTGTCTGTCTGTCTGTCTGTCTGTCTGAATGTCACCCCTACCTGAGAATCTGAGCACAGTGTTGGAGGTTCGTCATTCAGGCACACAAGGTGGTGGGGGTATTAACCTGCCTGCCTGCATCTCAAAATCATTTACACTGTGCTCCAGAGACTTTAAGCAAGAGCACCAAGGGATGGTAGGCGTGTTTTATCCTGTCTGTCTGTGTATCTATACATCTGTCTGTATACGTACCTGTCTAGACAGCTATCCAGTATATGTATATGTACTATGTGCATATATTTAAGAAAGAAGAGGTAAGTAGATATTCAACTACCTGTGACCTAAAACAGTTTTTTTAAAAAATAATTCGAAGAGCTGGGGAGATGGCTCAGTAGAATAAGTGCTTCCCTGGCAAGCGCAAGGGCCTGAGTTCAATCGCTGGTTCCACAAAAAAATAAAATAATAATAATAATTCAAATTCTGGTTCTCTAAACTTTGAGCTCTTTGTAAAGAAGAATTAGGCTTTATCCATATTTTTTCCTCATCCCCATGGTCACAGGTACAAAGTAGGCACTAACTTTTAAATTATACATGTAAAAACACGAGGGAAGTTTGAAGCCTGCTTGAATGATTTTTCCTTTTAGGGGTGTGTGTGTGTGTGTGTGTGTGTGTGTGTGTGTGTGTGTTTTTGCTATAAAGAGACTTAAACCCAGTGTTGCTCACATAGTGACTTTAGTAAAAGTATATAGCATAAAATTTATGGTCTCACCCATTTTTCTCTCTATCCCTCTCTCCATGTCTGTTTGGTTGCTGAAGGCAGAAGCTAATCCTCTGCACCCTATAGCCTGTGCAGCTGAGCTGTACCAGCTGCCCCATTGTCCTGAAGTATGCAGTTCGGTTGTTCATATGGTTGGAAGAAGGCTTATCAGCTAGTGTGCTGTCTTTATCCTTTTAAAAAACAAAAAACCATGGAGTTGTACTCTGTTTGCAATAATAAGGGTTGAGTTTGTTTTGTGAGCAACTATTTCCTGGTGTCTAGCAGTATGCTGGTTTCTCCCATACAGCTCTTTCTGTAACCCACGCATGACTTGCCTTGGAATACAACTGCACTTGGGTATACTGAGACAGCATGTGACTGAGGAGCCCTCCCTGCACTAACCCTGTGCTATACACAGCCAGTGAGAATGCTCTGGTTGCTGTGGTAAAATGATAAGACCTCCTTGGGATTGTCTGTGCAGATTATTGTGTGCAGCTTCTAGGCTCAGGTGTGGCAGATTCTTTACATTTACTTGTTCATTGGGAGCTTGCAGTTCTCCTTTTTGAGCTTAGGACTCTGATTCTTTGAGCATGCAGCCATCCACAGGAACTGATGTATTTTCACTAACATTTATACCTGGCCTAGTCAGCCCGCATCTGACAAACTGTGAGAGGCTCATTTACCAGTATGCCATTCCTTGGGGCCCACACCAGCCTCTTGACCATGAAAGGCAGGGAGTATAGGGTGTGCCGACTTTGGAACCACATGCTCTGTTGGCCTGATGTAAAAAATTTACTGTGTTTTCTGGGTTTTGTTTTGTTTTTTAATTTGCCTTTTTTCGGTGTTTATTATAAAGTATTTAAAAAGTTATAGAACTTTTATGCTGCAAAAAAAAGTTAGTGTTTAAAAAATATATAAAGGAGACGTGGACAAGGTATCATCTGAAGAAAGTATCACAAGAAAAGCCATTAGGGGGGCTGGTGAGATGACTCAGTGGTCTAAAGCACCTACTTAGAACAAGCTTAGCAAAGCACAGGGACTGAGGTTCAATCCCCAGCACCACATGCCAGCCCGCCCTGCCCCCTGGTGGGCTGAGCTGCCCCCACACACACACAAATAAATAAAATTAAAAAGAAAAAGAAAAGCCATTAGGGCTGGTGAGATAGCCCAGTGGACTACGCGCATGCTTTGGCAAGAGCAGGGACCAGGGTTTGATCACCAGCATCACATGCTGCACCAGCCCCGCCTCTAGAGTGCTGAGCTGGAGACCAAGTCTGGGCATGGTGGCGCACACCTGTAATCCCAGCACTGGGGAGGTTGAAAACGAGAATCGCTACAAGTCTGAGCTGTGTACTGAGACCCTGTACCAAATACATAAAATGAAAGGAAAACAAAGCCTTGTTGATGAGAAATATATATAATTGCTTATTGTAGAAACCAAAGGATGTGTTTAATTCAGAAAGAAACAAGAGTAAATGATTGTGTTTTGTGCCATGTGGACTGCATTTGATCTTGAAGTATTTTATAACCGTTTAGGAGTTCTGAAATGTAATGGATGAAATATAGCTCAGAATCTTTATTTTGGGGGCCGGGGAGATGGCTCAGTAGAATAAGCACTTCCCTGGCAAGCGCAAGGGCCTGAGTTCAATCCCTGGTTCTGAAAAAAAAAAAAAAAAAATCTTTATTTTTGTTGCCATATATGTTTAGACAGTAGATAGAGCCCAGAAGTAATGCGTAAACTTTTTTTGCTATAGAGACTAAGAATAATTGGACTCTGTGTCTCTGTCACCTGTTGAAACACCACCTCTGGAAAACAATGAATGATGTCTGATATTTCATAGCTCACCCCATCTAGAAGTTTACATCAATATTTTTAGACAAACAGCAAGTGTTTTCTGAGCTAATTAAGTGTGCTAAAGTTGTGCTAGCTGGCTGGAAGTAGCCAGCACATGGATGTGTGGATGAGGCCTGACTCCTGTCCAGTAGGCTTCATTTTTAGCCCTCTCAGCCCTGCCTTTTTTTTTTTTTTTTTTAAAGAGACAGGGTTTCACTCAGTAATTCATGCTAGACTTGAGCTCACTATGTAGCACCCAGGCTTGCCTTGAACTCAGGGCAGTCTTCCTGCCTCAGCCTCCTGAGTGCTAGCATGACAGGCATGACCCACCATGTCTGGCACTCTTTTGCTGCTGTTGTTTTGTCTTGTCTTGAGATAGGTTCACACTGTACCTCAGGCTAGCCTAGAACTGTGTGACCCAGGCTGGTCTCAAACTTGTGATCTTTCTTTCCTTAGCCTCCTGAGTGCTGGGATTTCAGCCATGCGCTGCCACAACCAGTTAGTCTTTTTTTTTTTTTTAGCTGCAGTGACCTCTGAAGTTTTCTTCAGTCCTGGAACCATGTTTTTCCAGCCTTCTCTTCTCATGAACAGAATTAAGGGTGCTCTCAGCCCTAATATCTAATTGCCCTATTGCTTTAAGCTTCTTGGCAGGACTACAGGGTCTCTTTTTTATCTTTGTAGAGAAAATATGTGATACAGGGCATGAAGGCAGTATATTAGCATTTGGAAACAGAAGGTCTAGGTTTGAGTTAGGTGCTATCCTGCCATTTAAGTAAAAGGAAAAGTTACCATCACCAAATTATTTTCCTTAGGAATAAATAATTAAAATCTTTACCTATGGGGCTGGCAAGATAGCTCAGTGGACTAAAGTGCCTGCTTAGGCAAGCTCAGGGACCAAGGTTCACATGCCTCACCAGCCTCACCCTGAGGGCGGACTGAGCCCACCAGAGTCCAGGTGTGGTGGCACACACCTGTAATCCCAGCACTGAGGAGGCTGAAAGCAGGAAGATCATGAATCCGAGCTGCGTGGTGAGACCCTGTAACAACCAAATACCTTTAAAAAAGAAAAATCTTTACGTACCTTTTCATGTATGTAGTAGTCATAAGGAGGAAGTCAGTTTATCACCTTATAAAAATTGTAAAACTCTCTGGGCATAGCAGCCTATGCCTATAACCCAAGCATTCTGGGGAAGAGACTCACAAGTTGGAGCTTAGCCTGTACAGTTTAGTGACTAAGTTTGTCTTAAAATATTTTTTTTTTTTTTTTTCTGGAACTGCAGGGGCTTTATTCGCAAGATGGGGAGCAGGAGGGAGCAGGCTCCAGGTGTCAGTGAGGGGTGCAGGAAGACAGCCTCTCAGCTGCTGCTGCAGCATAGCAGGGTGGGGCCACGACCACAGGCCCAAGGGCTGGAGAGATGCTTTAAACCCAGCTGTCTTCCAAAATGCCAGCCCACTCCAGGGACAGCAAAGTCACAAAACAGGAGTCCCAATGACACACCAGGGTACAATGGCTGCCTAAGGGGAGGCCAGCCCGAGATAGCGTCTGCTGGGGCCCCTCTGCTTCTCCTCTTCCCTCTGCTGCAGTGTGGAGGCCGCAGGGCCTGGCTGAAGCAGGAACCCTCACTGCTTGCCCGCCTGTCTTCCTGGCTTCTTCTCAGGCTGTCCCCGGCCTGTGCCCGGTAGGCCACCACGACCCCGGCCGCCAAACACTCCTCGCCCCGCGCTGCCCAGGCCGCGGCCCCGCTGCTGCTTCTGCTGCTGCAGCCCACCACGCCCACGGCCCTTGGCCACCACCTCCTCCTTGACCATGTCGATGATCTCGTCAGGGATGCGCAGGTACTTGATGGTGCTGCCGCGGATGTAGCACTCAGGCATGCGCCAGAACTTGTCCCCATCCCGGGACGTGCAGATGACCTCGCGCAGGTTGATGTTCATCCAGTTGTCGCAGCTCACCAGGTGTCCGTTGTATGTCTCCCCATTCTTGAGCTCCACCAACATGGGGTGGTTCTGCGCAGTCTTCAGCAACGACAGGGGCAGCATGTCGTCAGCGGGGGCTCACTGGCCACTTCCGCCGCACTCTCCGCCGCTCACGTCTTAAAATATTTTTTAAAAGAGCTGGGATATAGCTCATTGTGGAGGTTTTGGGTTTGATCCCTAATACAAATACTTAATTTTTTTTTTTTTTTTTTTTTTGGGAAGCATCTGCAGAATGTTCAGGGTCTCACTGCTATGTCAGACTTTAGTGATCCGCCTGTTTATAGCCTCCCTTGAGCTGGGATTACAGGCGTGTGCCACCGCGCCCAGTCTCAATTGTTGTCTCAGTACACCCTGGGGGCGGGACTGTCACAGCAGGCCCAGGGATCAAATCCCTAGCCCCTGTGCCTGCTTGCAGGCGCTTTAATCCACTGAGCTATTTGGCTGGCCCCCTAATACAAATATTAAGTCAAATAAATAAATACTAGTATATTATACAAGTGGTTACTATTAACATTGCTATTATAACGTATACTTCAATTTTTTAAATTTTATTGTTATTATTTTATGTATTTGGTACAGGGTCTCACACAGCTTAGACTTATAGTGATCTTCCTGTTTTCAGCTCCCCAGCGCTGGGATTACAGGTGTGCACCACCACAACTGGTCTAGGTGGCTGGCTCAGAGGGCCCAGGGGTGTGGCCTGCGCCACATGTTGAGCTGGGGTGGAACCCCAGTCCCTGTGCTTGCCTAAGCAGGCACTTAGTCCATTGAGCTATCTCTCCAGCCCTAAATATTTTAACAGAATTTGGGATAATCCAGTTTTAGGTCTTAACCAGAAACCTCAAAGTCATCAGTGGGGATGTTTATCTTATTGCTGTTTCCCAGAATTAATGATAATAGTAGCAGACATACATTTTTATGTAGTAGATAGTGGGATTTCAGGATTTGCACTTCGTGTGTGTGTGTGTGTGTGTGTGTGTGTGTGTGTGTGTGTTTTAGGGCTTCTGCATCCCAGAGTTTGGTGTTTATTGTGCTAATTGTGAATATACTAGTCTGAGTCTCACATCATCTAAAAACCTTAATACTGAGATTGCTGGTGCTATTGGGACAACTGGACCATAACCTGGGAAACAAAAATCGAATCATTATTGTTGTACCTTATCCAAAAATAGATTCCAGATGAATAAAAGTCCTATTGTTCCTGTCCTCCTGTGCCTCTTGCTTGGGAGTACTTGCTGAGCTAGAGTTCCACCGCTAAGCAGACCCTTGCCCCCTCCTGCCCTCTTTGTTTTGAGACAAGGTCTTACTGTGTAGTTCAGATGATCCTCTTGAGAATTACAGACATGTGCCACCATTCCCAGCTTAGAAGCCCTTTTTGAAAATGCTAGATTTGTTTTTTTTTTTTTTTTT